CCTATATGTATATTTCTCTTACCAATCACTTGAATTATGAATCGTAAATTATTTGACAGTACTTTAAACACAACCTACTTTAAACTCACTCAAAAAATTTGCTTTAATTTGTTATTTTTTGGTTGGTTCAAGATTTTGACAACAAACAAAAAACAAACTGAGGTTCAGTTTCCCATGGAACCTCCCAGCAGTTAAAGTCTTCTTAGGCCGGTCAAGTTAGACATTCAAGGTTACAATAATTCGTATAAAGCTGAAAATTGGTACGGGTGTTGTAAATATCATTACAAATCAAATGTCAAAAGTCCCCATCGATCTCACGTCAGCAAAAAAATTTATTGAAGGTCAAAGGTGACATAAATTATTTTTTGTTTCTTTCAGCAAAATAGTAAGGTTCATCACACAAATAGGCGGGACAAAAGTGTAGATTATGCAAACATCTATCAAAACTGTTATATCATTTGTCTCCCTAAGAATTACCATATCTGAGATATACATACATATGCGACCAACTAATTAGCAACGAAATTCAAAATGATATTGTTTGCAAATTATGTTTATTTATTTTTATTTTATTTATGTTTATTTTATTTTTAATAATGTTCCTTTACAATGTAATTCAATCTATAACAGAAACCAAATAATAAAAGTTTAAAAGCCTTCACAAATTGCAAATAAATTAATCAAACTTCAAAAAATTGTCATCAAAATTTCAAAATTGCAGTATGTAGTTTTGTAGCCCATTCAATTGTAGTATAAGAAAGTGCAAGTTTCAAGTCGTTAAAAATTGCCGTTGAATTTTTAGAATTTTTTTGTGAAGGGGTTTTTATATTAAAAAAATTTATCATGAGTTATATGGACAATTCTCAATTAGCTCGAACTTTCGCATGACTCGCCAATTTTTTTTCGTTAAAAATTGCCGATGAATTTTTAGAATTTTTTTTTTTTGTGAAGGGTGTTGCTACTTTTTATACCCGAGCGCACTTGTGCACAAGGGTATTATAACTTTGTTCACATAACGGTTGTTTGTAACAGGCAAAACGAATCGAGATAGATATAGACAAATGTATACATAAATGATCAGAATGAAAAGAGAAATCGATTAAGCGGTGACTGTCTGTCCGTCCGTCCGTCTGTGCACACGATAACTCGAGTAAAAATTGAGATATCTTAACGAAACTTGGTATGTGGACTTCTTTTGGGCATACGACGGACGGTATTGAAAATGGGCGAAATCGGACAATAACCACGCCTACCTCC